GAGTCCAAACCCTATTGCTGAATTTGAACGCAACTAGGGTTTACAAAGTCGGAAAAAAAAAATGCCCAATTAGGGTTAGGGTTTTGAATTCGCTAAAAAAAAAAAAATTGCGATTGTTGCTAAGTTATTGTTTTGAGTTTAAGTCCAAACCTAATGTTGAATTTGAACTCAACTAGGGTTTACAAAGTCGGAAAAAAAATTACGATTGTTGCTAAGTCATTGTTTTGAGTTTGAGTCCAAACCCTATTGCGGAATTTGAACTCAACTTGGGTTTACAAAGTCGAAAAAAAAATTGCGATTGGGGCTAAGTTATTGTTTTGAGTTTAAGGCCAAACCTAATGTTGAATTTGAACTCAACTTGGGTTTACAAAGTCGAAAAAAAAATTGCGATTGGGGCTAAGTTATTGTTTTGAGTTTAAGGCCAAACCTAATGTTGAATTTGAACTCAACTTGGGTTTACAAAGTCGAAAAAAAAATTGCGATTGGGGCTAAGTTATTGTTTTGAGTTTAAGGCCAAACCTAATGTTGAATTTGAACTCAACTTGGGTTTACAAAGTCGAAAAAAAAATTGCGATTGTTGCTAAGTCATTGTTTTGAGTTTGAGGCCAAACCCTATTGCTGAATTTGAACTCAACTTGGGTTTACAAAGTCGGAAAAAAAAATTGCAATTGTTGCTAAGTCATTATTTTGAGTTTCAGTCCAAACCCTATTGGAAATTCCTCAGTTTTATGGTCAGCAACCGTGGGATGGAAGCTAACCCCGAGAAAATTAAAGCCCTAATGGATATGCGGTCCCCGACTAAGCCAAAAGAAGTGCAAAGGTTGACAGGATGTGTCGCCACCGTAAATAGGTTTATATCAAAAGCGACTGACAAATGCATCCCTTTCTTCGACGTTTTAAAAGGAAACAGGCGCTTTGAGTGGACGCCACAATGTGAAGAGGCCTTCCAGAAGTTGAAGGAGCATTTGGGCCAGTCCCCGATTCTGTCAAAAGCAAACCAGAGCGAGGAGCTCAGCTTATACCTCTCTGTGTCCCAACATGCTGTAAGCTCCGTATTAGTAAGAGACGTAGAAAGGGTGCAATTACCGATCTACTATGTGAGCAAAAGGCTCCTCGACGCCGAGTCAAGATACGGTGAAATGGAGTGCCTAGCCCTCGCCTTGATGGTGGCTTCAAGGAAGCTCCGGCACTACTTCCAGTCTCACACAATACGAGTTCTCACAAATCACCCCCTGAGACAGGCTCTACAAAAGCCCGAAACTTCCGGTCGACTCCTCAAATGGTCAGTAGAGTTGATTCAGTTCGACATAAAATATGTGCCAAGAGCTGCAATCAAAGGCCAAGCGCTCGCCAATTTCCTGGCTGAATTCTCTCATAGACCAGCTCACGCCACATCTGGAGAAGTCGAGGTTACAAAATGGAAGCTCTACGTGGATGGGGCGTCGAGCGAAAACGGGTCAGGCGCCGGCATCTTGTTAATCAGCCCCGAAGGCCACAAGATTACCTCGGCGGTTCGATTTAACTTCAAGGCGTCGAACAATGAGGCAGAGTACGAAGCACTAATTGCTGGTCTACGATTAGCCAGCCACTTGAAGGTCGAAAGGCTCAGAGTCTTCAGCGATTCTCAATTGGTTGTCGCACAAGTAAAAGAAGAATACCAAGCGCGCGGCAAGAAGATGGGAGCATACTTAAGAAAGGCAAAGGAAGAACTCGTTAAGTTCAAAAGCTACGAGATGCTTCAAATACCACAAACCGAAAATGCAAACGCCGACGCCCTGGCAAAACTAGCTTCTTCAAGGGATTCCGACATACTAGGGGTCGTCCCCATCGAAGAATTAGAGTGGCCCACCATTGAAGAACAGGCTGAGGCACTAATCGTCCAAACAGGTGGAAATTGGATGATGCCGCTCATCCAATACTTAATGGACGCGCGCCTGCCAGACAATAAAGATGAAGCCAGACGGGTCAGGTATAGAGCCGCTAGGTACTTACTGTATGACAGCTTGCTCTACCGACGAGGCTATTCTACACCTCTACAACAGTGCCTGGATAACACCGAAGCCCAGAAGGTCCTCCAAGAAATCCATGAAGGAGTTTGTGGTAATCACACTAGGGGGCAGTCTTTGGCTCTAAAGGTTTTAAGGCAAGGATACTACTGGCCCACGCTAAAAAAGGACGCTTTTCAATACGCCCGATGCTACGATAAATGCCAAAGGTACGCCACAATTCCTAGAGCACCCCCGGAAAATTTAACCTCAATTCTCAGTCCATGGCCATTCGCCAAATGGGGGGTTGACCTGATTGGGCCATTACATGTTGCCCCCGGAGGATTCAAGTTTGCAATCATTGCGGTAGACTACTACATGAAGTGGGCGGAGGCAAAGGCCCTAACTACAACCACGGAAGCAACCTGCACCAAGTTCATGTGGGACAACATCGTGTGCAGGTTCGGGGTTCCCCAATCAATAGTATCCGACAATGAAAAGTAATTCGACAATGCCTCAACACGTAGATTCTGCGACAGCTTGGGCATTCGAAAAGACTTCTCAGCGCCGATCCATCCGCAATCAAATGGACAAGTCGAGGCGGTCAATAAAATATTGAAATACACCCTTAAAAATAGACTCGACGATCTGAAAGGGAGATGGGCCGAAGAGCTTCCCAAGGTCTTATGGGCATACAGAATGACAAGCCGAACTACTACGGGTGAAACACCCTTCTCCCTGGCGTATGGCGTCGAGGCAGTGCTCCCCGTAGAAATTGAAACGCCGACTCTAAGAACCGTTGTCTACGACGACAATGACAACACGGAGGGCATGAACGGGGAACTCGACTTATTAGAAGAAAAAAGGCTCGACTCCCAACTACGCCTCGCCGCCTATTAGCAAAGAACATCGCGGTACTACAACAAGAAATTTCGGCAAAGAAGGTTCATCCCAGGGGATCTAGTGTTAAAAAGGGTAACGCAGAGCACAAAACCCAAAAATACTGGTCTCTTGGGCCCAACTTGGGAAGGGCCCTACCGCGTAAGGGAGATACTACGTCCCAGTACCTACATATTGGAAAGCCTCGACGGCAACAGAATTCAACATCCATGGAATGCAGAACAGCTAAGGCTGTACTATCAATAGTGTATGTAATTCTTATACGCTCCAATTGTACATTCTTTACAAATTGAATAAAATTGATATGTTTGCAGAGAGAAAAGAATTTATCCCTTAATAACATGTCTGCTTAACAAAGCCAAGGTTATAATAAACAGACGTGGGGGGCAGAGGTCCACGGATCATAAAAAAAAATGACACGACGACCCTAAGGGGTAACCTCGACGTCAAATCCTCCAAAGAGGAGGAATAAAAACTTTACAAACTTCCAAGGAATTTTCTAAGACAACGACCCTAAGGGGTAACCTCGACGCCAAATCCTCCAGGGAGGAAAGATAAAAACTTAGCAAAATTCCAAGGAAATTTCTAATACAACGACCCTAAGGGGTAACCTCGACGCCAAATCCTCAAGGGAGGAAAGATAAGGACTTAGCAAAATTCCAAGGAATTTTCTAAGACGACGGCCCCAAAAGGTACAATCGACGTTAGAACCTCCAAAGAGAGAAGAAGAGCAACAATTGCAAGTCAAGGTATAAGCAAAATCTGTTGTCTTTTATATATATATATATATATATAAAGTGCAGGAAAAATATAAAGCTGTCAAAGACAAATATTAAGTTACAACGCACTAAAAGAAACATAAAGAAGGAATCCTTAGGCTTCGCCGCCAGTCGCCAGTTCTTCACCGTCGCCGGGAGGAGAAGCATTGTCTTCACCGCTGACACGAGGAGAAACGCTGTCGTCACTAGCAGGAGGAGGAGAATTATAGAGGAAGCTCAAGTCCTACTCCGGACGCTCCTTCTTGATAAAGTCGACGATTTGCTGACCCGCCGACTGAAAATCCTTGTTGCGGATATCCAGGAGCTCCTGAGAAGTCTTGAACTCCTCAATAATCCCCGCTCGCTTGGTGTCGAAGACTGCGTCAGCCTCAGCCTCAGCCTCCTTCTTCCCCTCGGCTTTTCCCTCAGCGAAATGCTTCTCCGCTGCCTGGGTTGCCTCAGCCAACTTTTTATTAGACAAATCCGCCTGCTGAGTGAGATCATCAACTTTGGCCTTCAGCTCGGCCAGATCATCCTCTAGGCTCATCAGTTTGGCCACAGCTAGATCCCTCTCCTCGACGGCATCATCCAGCTTCTTTTTGGCATCATCCACAAGAGACTTAAGCTTGGCCTCTACGTCGTCCATCTCACTCTTACACTCCTCGACCTTGACTAGATCGAGGAGGTTAGGAAGGGAAATAATGAGGCTCTGGAAAGATTGCAAAATCAGGAAAGATGAAGTGAAAAAAAAAAAAACCTCGGCAAAAACTTACGTGGATCTGGAAGGAGATCTGTTTACGCTGACAGTCGACCAAAGAAGACCGGGACGTTGCGATCCAGTGGGGCTCGAGGAAAGACTCATAAAGAGCCTAAAAGACGAGAGAAAAGCGAGGGGGAAGTTTCAGCATCGCCCCGACCCCGGCGTCAGAAATATCTGAGACCTGAAAGTTCCCGTCCATTATCTTTCCCCCAGGGATCAGCACGCGTTCTCTCGGTGCCGGGGGAGCACTGACATCAGGGATGGGAACCACTGGTGTCCAGGTCTTGTCAGTTGACGTCTTGTCAGTCGACGTCTTGCCAGTGCGCTTTCTCTTGTGGGTATGCTTGCCCCCCGGCACCGAAGGGTCTTTGATCTTCTTGCTCTTCGGCGTAGGAGAAGAACAGCTGGCCTTTTCTTTTCCCTTCGACAAGGGCTGTTGCCTCGGCAGAGGCTACGGATCAGACAATGGCTACTGGCTCGGCCCCGACCGTTGGCTCCCAGGGAGTTGAATTCTCAACGACGCCATCTCTGCAGAAGCGACGAGAAGAAGATATGATTAGCGTTAGGAAAACACGAACCGTAATGTTAGAAGGCACCGAGAGAAGTAATTACCCTCGTCGCTTAAATGGAAGTATGCGCGGACGACATCTAGGTCCGAAGAATTGGGAAGGTCTAGGATTAGGCCGGTAGCACGAAGATTTTCCTTGGTCAGAAGCGTTTCGATATGGCGAACCTCTGACGGATAGGAAAAAGCCTGCTCGACCCTCGCCAAACTATTACCGGAGAACTTCGGTCGGTCCTAGTTAACTGCAGGATAAAGGATTATCAGCACATGAAGAAAGAGCGAAGTCAGATAAGAAGAAAGTCAAGAGACTTACTCATATTCCCGAATGCCGCCTGCACTTGCCTTCGGCAGGGCAGGCGGTCATTGGGATGAAAGTTGAATGGCCCGCGGATCATGAAGAACATGGGCTTCCACCCATGTGACGATGAGTGAATGCCCAGAATAAGCTTCCCAAACCTGGGCTGAGCCCTCTCGTGACCACTCAGAAAGTACCACCCGTCACACTTGGCAACGTGGCACAGCTTGTACATAAATCGGAACTCATCCAATGAGAGTTCCATTTCAAACTTCTAGTGCCATAGAATCCAGGCACCTGCAAAGCAGTACCAGAAGTTCGGCGCCAATTGGGCAGGAGAGATGCCATAAAAATGACAGTAATCTTTTACAAAGGGATGAACTGGGAGTGTCATCCCCGCGGTAACCGCTCT